TACATATATATATGTATATATATATATATATATTATATATATATATATATATATATATATATGTGCTGTATGCTTATGCACACATGTATGTGCATGTATGCATACATTAGTGTCCCCTCACATATATGTGTATATACCTGTACTTGCATTTCCTATAGCTACATTTACACACATACATACATGCATAAATATATTTATACCCATACATATGCATAGACATGGGCGCATACATACATATAGATACATATACATATATATACAACATATACATATACATACATATATACCTATACATGCCTACATACTTATCCATACATCTATACACACAGACATATACACACATTATATATACATATATACACATACACATAAATACCTACATATGTACCTTCACACATACGCACAAAGATACATATCTATGCACTTGAACCCATGTATACCCTCACATAAAAGCATGGGAACATACACATACTTCTTGTACTCTAGCACATAACTATACGCAAACATATAGCCATACATATACAAATGGAACTGTGTACATGTACTCATACATATCTACATACGCTTGTCCTTATATATATACATATAATAAATAATATACATACTTATATAAATTCAGACGCACACGCACACATCTGAGCATGTACACATATACACGCATACACGTGCACACTTATGCACCTGCGCACTTAGGGCGTACGCGCTCATACTCGTGCACAAACGGTTGAACAGCGTCTGCATGAGCGCACATACACACTCCGTTATAATGAGCCGATACTGTGATGAACAGCATTAATTGCAAGCGTTTCAAAGACAAATACACGTCTTCATCTTCAGTCCTACAAAAAAGAACAAATAAAACTCTTAGAGCCGGATAAGGCACAAAGTAAAACAGTTTAGAAACAAATATCACAAAAAGCGGAAAAAAAACTACGGAAAATATGGGAAATATATACAAAAGAAATGGCAGGCAAGATACACCATAAATAGTAAAATTGGTGGTTACTGTCATAGGATTATACCGTAAATAGCTGTGTGGCTGTGCTGTGGCTGTTAAGCTCTGGTTTCATCTTATGGATAAGCAGACGATGAGATAAGGAGGTCGAGTCTGTTGGGAAAAGTAGACAGAATTTTGAAATCATTGCGAGCGTAGGGATGGTCTGTGTGTGAGTGTTGGCGAATAGCATGCCCTACCTCTCACAAACCGGCCGTTTGTGAGAGTAGGCAGCTTTTTATGGACTTCCCCATATGTTCAAGAATTAGATGCTTGAACCAACGTGTCGTTAATCCAATATACTTAGTATCACAGGTAGGACAAATTAAACCTATTTACAATACTTGAACATAGATCTGAAGAAAAGGAATTATTCGTAGAAACTTTGTTAAATTTAACCTGGGAGAATGAATGTTAGAGCAACTCACGTAATTGTTTCAGAGATACGGTAGTTAAATGTATTTAATTTGTTTAGGAACAGAGGTAAGCTTTAAGGCTGGCACATATCATTTAAAATAATCTCTGGTTTCTCAAACATAATGCCAGGTTACCATTTAGTGTCATAGTAATTTAACAAAACGATTTATATATAATATATATATATATATATATATATATATATATATATATATATATATATATATATATTATATATATATGTATATATATGTATATATGTATGTATATATATACAGCTATATATGTATATAAATAAATGAAAAACAATCTACCCGTGTTGAAACTATAGTAGACAAAACACTATGCACAAACAATATTTAATGATTCCATCTTCGGAGGATGTTCCCAATATATATATATATATATATATATATATATATATATATATATATATATATTATATATATATATGCATGTATGTATGTATGTGTATATGTATATACACACACGCACACACACACACACTAATTTCCGTGTTGATCTTGTTCTATTAATAAATTAGGATGAGTGAATGTAAACATAAGCTATTATATTAGAACATTCGTATATACAATATACATCATCATATTTCTTTAAAATAACGTAATATGTATGAGAATGTTCGTGTGATTCCCGGGACCTCACTCCGATGGCGCCATGTTTGTTTACATGATTTTCATACGGAGTTCATTCGGAAACGCAAAAAAAAAAAAAAAAAAAAAAAAAAAATGACGGAAAAAGTGCTAGTGTGATAGGGCCTGTTGGACACAACGTTTTACCGACAATCCAGCGGCCACATTCATATTTAAATCGTGTGATGGCCTCTCCCTCCCTCTCTCCTCTCCCATTTTCTCTTTATCTGTTTACAATAATAGTCTTTCTTTCGTTTCCTACTTCCTTTTCTCTCCTCTCTTTTATCTCCTACTTCCTTTTCTCACTCGGTGTTTATCCCATGCTTTTAACTGTGATAAGCATTCTGATTTTATGAGAAACATGAAACCGAAGGCCACTGTTTGTCTAATTTTCCTCTCTTTTTGCCTCACTTGTACTGAACCTCTTTTTCTTTCCGCTTTTTTTCTTGTCACTTTCTTATTATTTCTTATTTTTTTCTAATTCTCTTTCATATCTCACTTCCTCGTGGTCTGTAGTTTTTCATAACTCTTATAGATTTGCATATATATGTAGAAAAACTATGAATGTGACAGGATATCTTCACAATACAAGAGATGTATTTGACCGGTTTCGATTACGTCTTCATCAGAAATACATCTGATGAAGACGGTCAAATACATCTCGTGTATTGTGAAGATATCCAGTCTCATTCATACCTTTTCGACATTTCTCAACATGGATACGGTTCATCCTTGCATATATATATATATATATATATATATATATATATATATATATATTATATATACATATATATATATATATATATATATATATATATATATATATATATATAATAAACAGATGGATATAGATAAAGATAATCACACACACGAGCGCGCAAACACACACATACATACACACGCACGCAAATGTATATATGTATATATATATATATATATATATATATATATATATATAATATATATATATATATATATATATATATATATATATATATATATATATATATATATATATATATATATATATGTATATATATATATATTTTTTTTTTCTAATACACACACATGTATATATATGTGTGTGTGTGTGTGTGTGTGTGTGTGTGTGTGTGTGTGTGTGGTGTGTGTGTGTGTGTGTGTGTGTGTGTGTGTGTGTGTGTGTGTGTGTGCGTGCATATCATATACATATGCATGTGCGTGTATAGACCCGCACACACACACACACACATATCTGTACCTGTAGTGTTACTCAAAATGATATGCCATAAGGGATATTTAATCGATTTCATAAACCAATTCGCTCTTGGGCTTCCAGCTCTGTCGCAGAAGAAATGCAAAGCATGATTTACTTTAAGTCGAAGAGAAGAAAAGCCTCTTGACTCCCTTGCCTCTTTCCCTTCGTCAGGTGACGTGGACGAAGTCGGACGAGGAGCTTCTGCTCACGGTCGGGGAGAGGATCTACACCTCAGAGCCGCGTTACTTCATCTCTCATGTTAGGCATCGGAAGGTAGGTGAGGGTGGAGGCAGAGGAGGGGAGGGAGGAGGGCAGGGCCAGGGGAACAAAAGAGAAAGAGAGAGAGAGAGTGGGAGGGGATATATAGATAGATAGATAGATAGAGATATAGATAGATATATTTATATAATATTGTTTAAGTTTCAGACATTGGATATTCATATTGCGTCGAAATACCGCCCCAGTACGACGGGGAGAGTATCATCCTGTAAACAAAGAGAGCAAATGCCTTTCGTTATCAGACCGCAATTCGCGGTAAAGTCTACGATCGTACCCTCCGTGTTTCATTACATCACACACTACAAGGCTTTAGGTATTATTACATAGATTGTTTCAGCATTACAATCCCGCATGATATTAAAATATATATACATATATATCTTTACATCAGATATGCGTGTGAGCTTTATTCGAAAGCGAAGAGACGTGGAAGGTGACACGAAGGGATGCGAGGAGCGCCCCGCCTGAGAAAAGAGCCAGCAGTGGAGGATGCAGACATAGCTCTCAGCCAATTTCAACTGAGAAAAAAGTGTCCAGGATATTACTTTATAACAATGGTGTTAGTAATGTTGATGATGATAACAGAGTACAGAACGAAGGCCTTAGAGTGAAATAGTAAGGCTGGAACTTTGTAACAACTGCATTTATCATGTTCCTGAAAGTCGTACTTACGAACATTCACGGGAAAAAGTTACTCAACTACAAATTTCAGCAGCGTAAGAGCTACGCAGGAAAGGAAATAGCTCAGGTGTTGTAACCAAACTTCAGATTACAAAATCTCAATTCCCTCGAAGTTTACGTCAAAAAATAGAGGAGATCAGTCGTGCCAACGACGGGATCCCACGGAGGCACAAAGTCTGTAGTCTATAAAATGACGACTTGTTGGTGATAAGATTTATTTTTCCTGAAAGATAGATCTCTGGCATAGGAATTAGGCGAAGTAGAGCGATTAGGTTAACAAGAAATTTAATTCTCAGAGGCACCATATATATATATATAATATATATATATATATATATATATATATATATATATATATATATATATATATATATATATATATATATATATAATATATATATATATATATATATATATATATATATATATATCCTCTCCAACAGGGATTCGAATCCTCACCGCCATTGCAAGGAACTTACAAGACGGTCACTCTAACCACTGATATATATATATATATATATATATATATATTAATATATATATATATATATATATATATATATATATATATATATATATATATATATATATATATATGTATGTATATATATATGTATATATATGTGTATGATATATATATATATATATATATATATATATATATATATATATATATATATATATATATATATATATATATATATATATATATATATATACATAATATATATATATATATATATATATATATATATATATATATATATATATCTATGTGTTGTGTGTGTGTGTATGTATGTGTGTGTGTGTGTATGTATGTCACGGACATGTCTTTTTCATATAGAAATTAAATAACCATGCCCTTCTCTTCCTATTCAAATTCAGAAATTTAAAATCCAAGGACGGATTCAGCTGCGTTTCCGGCCTCGCTCCATGGATTTCGAAAAGCGGAATCGATGACAAGGCGTTCAGGTGGGAACCGTATTCATTGCGACAAGTGCAGAGAAAGTGTGAATGAGAATGAATACCTTTACAATACAAGAGGTTTGCACGGTTTCGACTATATCTTCGTCAGAAATACATGCATTTCAGGAGATATTATCGAAATTTTAGATTTACTTCTTGCATCGTGAAGACGTCCATTCTTGTTCTTGCAACCCAGGGTCGGATTCGAACCCTGGGATGGAAGACCCCGCGCCCGGATCGCCGGCAGATCGGCCCTCGTTGCGCTGCCGCCCAAATCTAGGGTGGGAATTGTGTTCTTTTCTTCCAGTTCACTTTTAGAACGTTACGTGTGCAGGCGAACGGCATCAAGGACGCGAGAATAAGAAATAAAAACAAGTGATGAATATCGAGGGAAGTCTTTGCCACGAGTTTACATCAAAGGCGGTTTTGCACCAAACCAGTCACTCTTTCTTTCGCGAGGTTTTTAATGAGTTTCATTCGTGCGAGCGTCGGTGCGCGCCCGCGCGCTGCGTCCCATTCAAACGTTCGATGGGGTCAGCACGCCTTCTAACTCTTACAGTGCCGCTGGCTTCTGCTTCGGCTAATAGGAAATATTGGAATAGGAGTATTCACATGGTACTTCTATCCAAAAATCAGTATCTAAACATAGCTGTAATATTCATCCATTTGATCAGATTACCGATTTTACGAGATTTCCCATTTGTTTTATTTCTATTTTTTATTAGACGTTCCAGCCCTTTTCTCAGGAAAGGTCTCCGTTTTCTCCTTTCTCATTTCACAAGCAGTAATATCTAAGAAAATCTGTTATTCTAGTTCAGACTTTAACAAGAGAACAAACGCCAGCCTCCAGAGAGTTTCATAAATAAGTACATAAGCCTAGATTACACCGGAATATAATGTAAATGTTTGTTTCTGATAATTTTATCGGTATTAGCTACAGAAATTAGCATCGTTATCATGGTCATTATTACTAAAACCATCATCATTATTATTATCTCAATAGCATCATCATTATTGTCATCTTACAATTAGTGCCATTGGATTCATAATCATGTTAATTTTGTCATAATCACGCTATCAAATCATTACACATAAAAAATGAAGATACCACCAAAGCGTCTTCCTCGCAGCCATTCGCTAAGCGCCCTGCCTTTCCCGCAGCTGTGGGAGCTGTCCATCCGCGACGTCCGGGCGGCGGACGCGGGCGCCTACGAGTGCCAGGTGGCGTCGCACCCGCTGGCGGCGCTCTTCTTCCTGCTCAGGGTGGTGGGTGAGTGGCTGCGCTTATGCGCCTTGTGCGTGCATGCATAGACACATGTATTTACACGGACACACACGCGACACACACACGTATATAATATATATATATATATATATATATATATATATATATATATATATATATATATATATATATATATATAATATATATATATATATATATATATATATTATATATATATATATATATATATATATATATATATATATAATATATATATATATATATATATATATATATATATATATATATATATAATATATATACATATATATATATATATATATATATTATATATATATATTAATATATATATATATATATATATATTAATATATATATATATATATATATATATATATATATATATATATATATATATATATATATATATATATATATATATATATATATATATATATATATATATATATATATATATATATATATATATATATATATATATATATATATATATATATAATATATATATATATAATATATATATATATATATATATATATATATATATATATATATATATATAACAAATACGTATGTATGTATATATATGTATATATATATATATATATATATATATATATATATATATATATATATATATATATATATATATATATATATATATATATATATATATATATATATATATATCATTTATGTACATATACATATTATATATATATATATATATATATATAATATATAAATATATGTACATACATATATTTATGTATATAAATAATCTATATATATATATATATATATATATATATATATATATATATATATATATATATATATGTGGTGTGTGTGTGTGTGTGTGTGTGTGTGTGTGTGTGTGTGTGTATGTGTGTGTATACATATACATATATATAGGTACACAAATATGATATCGCATAACCGATAATGACGATTTTGGTATCGTTGGATTCCTCTCACTCTATTCAATGCAAATATGTAGGTTTTATTGCGCGGAGACCCCCCCGTTAGCGACAACCTTGGCCCCGATAGCGGGGGCGACGATGTCAGAGCGGCGGATATAATATATAAAATTACCCTAATAATATAACCTCACAGTGAAAATAATCATGGTTATTCACATGACTTTCCATTGCAGCCCCCTGCGACCCCCCCTGGGGGAGGGCTGACCCCCGCGAACTAGATGCGGAGACGATAACCTACAATAACCTAGGATTTTCAAAGTACTAACCTGATTGATTAATGCCGCTAATTAGTAGGGAGGGTGCTCCTTTGCCGCAGAATGTTAAGGAGGCAGGGTGCGTCCGGCAGGAGGTCCTAGGCCGGAGGATACAGCTTTCTCCCGACGAAGGAGGCCGTGGCGGAAGCACATCTCTAGCATTTTTTCCTGGCTAGTTGCAATTTCGCGCAGAAAATCCGTCTCCGAATACGAGCACCCTCCACACTCGGCCATCGCGGCGGCTATGACTGACGTGAACGCGACGGTTATTTCGGTTAGGAATACGGATGTCGTTATTCCAGAGGACGGGAAACTCGACCTTGAAGCCATCTTTGTAACATCGAAAGAGACGCAAAACCCGCCGACGAGGGCGGGCCACCCTGTTCATCCTGATTATACTACAATCGTCTCTATATACAATGCTAACTATGCCAAGGTTAATATGCTGATTCAGTGGGAATCTTACGAGGTAATTGTAATATTACGACCGCCGCTCCGACATCGACGATGACTGTGTAACGCTCTAGCCTGCCGGGAATACGTGGTGGAGGTTTTGTTTCTCGGCGGGGGTTGGGGGCGGTAGCCCCCCCCCAAGGGGGGTCGCAAGGGGCGCAGCCCCCTGCAATGGAAAGTTATGTGAATAACCATGGTTATTTTCACTGTGCGTTATATTATTAGTGCTATTTAACCCCGCATTTGCCCTGGAACCTTCCATGCCCTCCCCTGCTATCGGGGCCAAGTTTTGTCGCTAACGGAGGGTTTCCGCGCAATAAAAACTATATATTTGCAATGTGGAGAGTGAGAGGAATCCAACGATACCAAAATCGTCGATATCGGTTATGCGGACGTAATATAGAAAATTACCATATATATATATATATATATATATATATATATATATATATATATATATATATATATATATATATATATATATATAATATAATGTGTACTTGAAACGTTTCATAAATTCCATAGGCAAAATTATTCGTTCTCTAGATACAATGGCCATTCGGGTTCGTTTGAGACATACATACATACATACATACATATATATATATATATATATATATATATATATATATATATATATATATATATATATATAGACCAATATGCCATAACCAATAATGAAGTCACAGTTGTGTTTGCAATATCATTCCTTTATGCACTAACGCGTCCTGTCCCATCCCCTCCCCTGTTTCATAACCCCCCCCCTCCTAGAGGCCCGGGCCGTAGTCCCGGACGGCGCGGCGCTACACTCGCGGGCGGGCGTGCGGCTCCGCATCCAGTGCCGGGTGGACCTCGCCACCGAGCCCGTCAGCCACTTCTTCTGGTACCACAACGGGACCGCCATCAATTTCTCCAAGACGCGCTCGCTCACGGTGGTCACGCACGACTACTGCAGCTACGTCGTCATCGAGAACGTGACTTGGGCGGATTCCGGCGTGTACACGTGCGCCCCCCTGAGGGCCAGGCCCGCCAACCTTACGCTCCACGTTCTGCAAGGTGAATGAGGGCGAGCGAAGCACACCCTGGGTGAGGCAGGCCATCCGTGCACGGAATCGTCAACCGATTCGTGAATGGAAGCTACACTGTCTGATTACTACCACTGTTGTTATTGTTATTACATTCATTATTATCATTGTGAAATTAGTAAGTACCAATTTTCTTCGTTGTTTGTCTGTCATTATCGTAGATACTTGAGAGTAAATGCTACTTAGATTATACCAAACCGTAATCAGCAGTAGCAGCTTTCTCGAGACGTCAACTATGCAATTATATCTGTTTTTACCAGGGGTGACAGTTCGACGTTATAAGAATGAACCCGTAAGTTCAATCAATATTTGACGATACTGATTGTTAGTTCTTTTATTAATATATTCTAGTAATACAAAACTGCAGTGACAGTCGAAGGAATTCCTTCATGTTGTTAGATTGCACACTAAGTACTCACGATGGCCAGTCCGGTTCATCACGTGATTCCGATTATCAGCTGAAGACGGTTTAAGCAAGAATGCGAATTTGATTGCGAGCCCCCCCCCCCCCGCCCCCGCTTCTATACACATAGAAACCAACAAGGACTGAGGATATAGTCCTGCCTCGTGAACGGTGGCCTCAGTCGATCTCACATGGTTCCGGGAGTAACACGCTTTCCGGATGGAGGTCTTTGTGTCCCGAAATTAATTAAGTTAACATAAAGAATTTCCCGGAGTGTGAACACCAGACCTGTCCTTTTCCCCGCCAAGAGGAAAACTATCTAACA